TTTTTTTCTCCACTCTCTCTTAATCCTAAAGATTTGTACCCAAGCCAATGAAACTCTGTCCAAGCTGAAAAACCTCAGACAATAGCTCTCAGAAGTATAAAATGACCCATAAGAGGTTATTTCGGCAGAAAAATTTTATGGCAACGTTAACTCTTTCATTGCTAATGGTATAAGAAAATAAGAACTGTTGTTATATTTACTGTTAAGATTCTTATGCCTCTTCTTGGTATCTTAGATTTCTAGTGTCCTCTCTTACAGCTATCCAAGTTCCAAATTTGCTCTTGGCTAAAGTTATCACAGATAATTTATAATAACACTTGCTTTAAAATGTGTACAAAGTCCTTTGTCCACTGGAATTTGATTTAAATTTAGTTCATTTTGTATTTCAATTATAATTGTAATACAAACTTCAAAAACCTGTTCTTCACACATTATCAAGAGTCCAGAGTATCATGCAAGACAAAATACATAATTTTACATTAAAATTTACATCCAGCAATAAGGAGACTGTCAAGTTCTCCTACTGTAATTGTGGCTTTAAAATACAATTTTGGCTGCATTATTTATAGGAATGGAATACTTCATGATAAGCATTGAATCAAGATAATATGCATACACAAACCATAAACACAAAGATGTGCACAGCCAACTGTATACAATAATACTTCCATTGTTCACTGTTCTCTTCAAAAGTATCAATGCCAATAAATGCTTAATTATGCCGTGAATACACTCTCACTGAATAAATATTAAGGAGTCATGTATCAGTAAATACCAAAACCACCAGCACAAAAATCCCACGTCTATAGTAGTGGTGTTGATAATTTTTTTTTTTTCTCCTTGTTCATCCTGGAACAAGTTACTGAAAGTCACTGGACTTCCCTTCTTGTAACACAGAGGGTGGAATAATTCAAGAGTATTGGAAGCTTCCATTAAGAGGTTTGAAACCAATTTTGTACACAGAAACTTGCACTCAATAATTCAAGGAAATAACATTAAATATTGCCTTAAGAATCAGCAGCAAGGTTAGGACCAAAGACCATAAACTTCCCCAGATGGTACAGCTATCTTCCAAAATAGCAATGCAGTGCAGTAAGTAGCAGAATATCAGAATTGCTCATTTCACTAAAAATGTACATTTAAAAATTGGAGCTTTGATTACAGAGGCAGTGGGAATATTTTTAAATACAAAACCTATTAAAAAAACCCCAGCTAATACAACGAGAAACTGTCATATAACAATTGCTCAGATGAGTATGTAATATGTTGTTGATTTCATTAACTTTTTATTTTTTTCAGAATATGTTTTTTCTGTACCCAACACAAAAAATCATTAACAGCAGGCAATTTTCTCCAGAGTATGACCTCAGGATTCATTCATTATTGTCATAGCAAACATATAAACAGAAAAAGTACAACTAATACTTTGAATTTAAATGTTAAAAGCATCTGGTTTTCTTTTTTTTTTTTTTTTTAGCATAAAAAACAACCCACAACCAAAAATAAAAGGGTATTGCAAGACAGTTCTGAATAAGGAAATCCTACACCTGGGCAAGTACATGTGAACTAGTCTTAATTTAATCAAAATACCATTTCTTTCATGTACTTTATAATGCATAATGCAAAAACAAACAGCTTTCTCTCATACTGACAAAAAAGGATGAAGAATCTTCACCCCATATCCTATGTTATTTAATCACACCCAAATTCACAATCAAAGGACAAGCTGTATTTACCCCAGATGTGCTCTAACACAACACTGCATTTTCAACAGAGATCAACAACTGTGGTATAGGAAAATATGTAGGAAAATGACTGCTTTTTTCACTGGCATCAGAAAATAACATGCAGAGGGGCACGTTTTGCTCTTCTTGATGTCTTTAGTGTTACCCCTCTTTAAAAATATGATCACTTTGCTTAAATAATTCACCTTAAGTGTTGAATTAAGTGGTGGTGTGTTAATTCCAGTGACTGCAGTCAGATATGCACAAAGAAAATTATGAGATCCCACTGGAGAACTCATTTTGGTTAACTTTTTACCTACTTGCTCTCTGCATGTTCATTCCCTCTTCATATTTTGGTAATTAGCTCAAAATCTCCACTAATATCAGAAGCATATGACCCCATTTTTACATCAAAGTGGTTAACAAAGGATGAACAGGGATGTCATCATTCTGCCACAAAAAATGACAGCACATTGACAATTATGGTAGGACCTGTACTTTTACCATTCTAGAATACAGTGCAAGAAGAACACTTAGACCAAGAGATTTGGTGCTTTATTCTGTTCTTTGGTTTGTTTTTTTTTTCCCCCAGAAAAAAAGCAAACCACTTATTTAGGAAAATGGTGGGCTAAATGGAAGGAAGAGATTTTTATTTTGGATTCTTCTTTCAGGGGGCTGAGACAGAACTTTAACAGAGGTCCATAACACACGTATCAGCTCTGGTTTTCCCACCTTCTGACTTACTTTTTCTTAATAATCACATACTTCTTAGCAGTTAGCATTTTTCTTAGCAGATTCATAGCCTCATATTCTTTTCTCTGAGCAGATCCTATTGGCAACAGTACAATGCCAAACTCTAGATTAAACATAAGCATTGTTCCATTGTTTGCTTCCCAGAAGCACCAATAATGAAGATGCAGCAGTAGGAGAAACTTCACAAAAATCAAGAACACTGCTATATTACAGCCCTTTGACAAGTTTTAAAGAAATCTAAATCACTTCAGAGCATGCTTTATCAATCTATCCCGTCTTTTTTGCATGCAGTCACCACTTACTACCTAGCATCTCTGCACCAGCTGGAGAGTACAGAGGGAGTGGAAGCCTATTTTGCAGAGAAAACCAAAGGCTTGCATTAAGAGAAGATAATGTTGAGAAAGGCAATGTTATTTCTACAAATCTGTGACTCCTGTAACCCCAACCCTCTAATTCAAATCCCACGCTACATCTTCATTCTTTCCCTTTTACTCTTTCACCTGTGATGCACAATGTATACTGTTAAGTTTTACCTATTTAAATTTCTAGAAATTTCTCTTCCATGGTTTGTTAGAAACAGTGCCTTTTGTTTATACTCATGTACAAAATAAAAGGACAGTCTTAAGTAAGCTTGCTTATGAATGTTCTTGTCAGCTACAAGCAGATGTATGTCCATTCACACTAAAGACAGAAATGAATCTTCACAATTTGAGGGCTTAAAGTCAGGAAATCTTTACCATCTACATTCAGTCTAATTTCAAGCTCTGTTCAGCAAAAAGTGATAGCTAAGAACTAACAGTTACCAATCATTTTCAGAGTACACCTCGGCTGAAGTATCACAAGCATGAAGTCTCAAGCTTTAGAAGTTACATGAGCAGAATCAAGAAGATTATGATCAATCTATGGCAGGGAAAAATAATTTAAAATTATACAATCTTTACCTCTGATACAATGATCTTTCTTAGATCTCAAAAAGTTTTTTGAATTAGAGCCCACAGTCAAAATGAGGTAAGGCGATTTATCCAAAATGTACAGAAAGACTAATGATCTAGAAATAGAACAGATACACTCAAAGCACTGATTCAGCTCTATAGAAAAGGCACTTAAAAGCAGGGCTCACTGATTTATTTTTTAGTTTGAAGAAAACAATAATTGCTTCAACACATGGAGCAACTGTCACAAAGTACAAGTTATTGAGGGATACTGGCTTCATGGTGACTGCCTGCATACCCCACAGCAAATGCCAATCATTCCAGGTAGCCTATCCTTTAATCTAACTACCTTGCATTACCAAATCACCATCACAGATAGCTTGGACACAAGCATACACACAATTCACAACAAAAAAAAACCCAAAACAACAATAAACCCGCAAAAACCCCAAACAAAACAAAACAAACAAACAAAAAAACCCTAAGAAGATGCAACTAACTTTGTAGCACGTTTTACGTGTGAACTGCTTATAAACGAAAATAAGGCATCATAACTTCAGATGCTTTAGACATCTAGCAGACAGAACCTACTGTTCCAGCTTCAGTTCTTCTGTTACTCTACAGCATAACACCTCACGCAATCCAGTGTCATAACTTTACTACTATGTACCAAAATCATAAGCAGAAATAACACACAAAAGTGAACTCCTCTTAAAATGTTTAACCTGGAACTAAAAGCAAGGGTAAATGCCTGCACAAACAGGGTTTTTTTTCCATCCATTTTGGAGCTCTACTAAGCAATAGCTTTTGCAACAAGAGAAGCACAAATATGAGAGCTTCCATGTAAACCAGAGCACGAAGGTTGTACTTCATGAGTAATGTACCTAGTAAGAAGGAATGCAATTGCTTCTGATTGAAACTACTGAATCTACTAGAATACAACATTTGTAAAATGAAGTAAAATACAACAGTCTTCTCAACTGTAGTATGCAAAACCATTTCGTCTTAGCTAGGAAATGTGTTGCAGCAAACAATACATTGATTCAGGCAGTTGAGTAACCGTAACTGTATAAAGAATTAATTTTTACTCTGTAAGTTAGAAGTATTTAAAAAAAAAAATTGTGTTCCATGTCTCCAATGCTACTAATATACAAAGACACTAGGCACCCAGTAATTAGCAAGTCATTCTAAAGGACAGAATGTTGAGAATTAAGGTTACTAAACATGACCAAATTATATTGCCAAATACAGTCTGTCTGGAGTATACTTCAAAAAAAGAAAAGCTTTCACATTTGTGATTTTACTTTATTGCTTAAAACAGCTGGTGAAAAGTCACTGCTCTCCCATGTAACTTAAGTTAAAACACACAGACTTTTTTTTTTTGTGGGTGTTCTGTTTTGCTTTGGTTTTTTTTAAACCCAGAAGCTATTTTGAAAATAGAAAGATCCTATGTTTCTTGAAACTACCTTTGAATTTTCTGAATTTACCTTGGAATTTGCATGCAAAATTCTAACTCACTTCTTAAAAAATAAAATACAACTTTATCAGGATTGAAAATATTTATTGCAAAGGTTAAAATACTTGTTCCTACCTCCACCTTTGTTCGGTAGAGAATGAGACGCTTTAGGCTGCCCACTTTGGCTATGTGGTTGAAAGCCTGAGGTGGTATTTTATCACATGATGAGAGATTTAATTCCTGAAGATTTGGACACATTTCAGTAATGACCTCCAAGCATGTTTCATTGAGGAAATGGCCACAAGACAGCTCAAGACGTATTAGTTCAGAGCCACAAACTTTCAAGAACCTGTAAAAAACCCCGTATTTTAAGTGAAAAACAAACATACTTTCAGGTGAAGGTTTAACAGTATTCAGTCTCTAAGCATATAAACCAGGAAATAGTTCTTTTCAACAATGAAAGGCCTACGCTACAGACCACAGTTCTTACGTCACCTCAGTTAATTAACAGAAAACATGATTAGGTTGAAGTAAATTAATCATAACCTCTCTGAAGAAGTTACTCAGAAGAGATCAAACCAATGAGGTGTTGAGTTAGGCAGCAATGTTAAAAACTCAAAGTTAGTTGAGACTGTTTCCTCAACATTAACTTGATACTGTACTTAACCTAGATATTATGCAATATTTTGTACAAAAGAATATTTGATTACATTTTAAGAAACACAGGAGGCTATATCATGCTATACATAGCATAAGGAGGCTAGTATCACTATAAACAGTCTTAAAGAAACAATTCTGCCTTGAAAATAAATTGCAAAAGAATCATTAGGGATGAAAACAGCATAGAGAGGGCTTAATGAAATTAACGTTAGTCTTGAAAACCCTGTTTCAGTTTAGAAAGTCAGAAAGTGCTTCATTCTTGCAGTTTATTATGAGACAATGGAGCAAAGTATAACATAATGTCTGAAATGCTTTGAAACAGTTCCCCAAAGCCAATGGCCTGCAAGTTTCCACCAATAATTTCATACTTCTTTTATCTCAGAAAAATCTGCAAATATAAAAATAAGGTTAAACAAATGCTTTTAAATCAAAATATTAATGAGAAGTGTTTTAAGACTGCCAGACAAATATCTGGTTCCTTTCATTAACAAGTAGTCAAAATCAACACTTTGTAGCTGTTCTAAGACACAGAGATTCCTAAGGGCTATTTCACATGACTTCCATTGGAATTATGAAAAACTAAGATATTAGAAGACAAAATATCCAAAATTTTGGAAACTCTGGTCTGTGCATGAATTACACTGTCACAGATCGTGTCACAAATACAAAGCCCTACTGTACCTAATCCAAGTTTTACTTACAAACACATAAGCTGCAAATATAACCTTCAAACTGTAAATCAATCAATAGGCTTGTTTGATATTTAATAGGGAAAAAAAAATCCCACATGTGATTTTGTTATGCTTTGAATAGTTTCTCCAGCAGAAAAAAAATAAATTCTTAACCTATGGACTGCAATGAGTTCCCCTTGTTAATTCCTAGAATAATATAGCTACTTGTGAGACAGCATGAGTTAGTTTCTCTTAATGTTCTGATCTGCTCTAATACCAGTTATATCCTACAAAATCCTTCATGCAGAAAAAACAGCTTGATGTTCTGACACTTTCACTGCAAAGTCAGTACTATTTCTTGTAGATGTATCTTAACTGATATGATAGAAATGCCAGAGAGACACCAGGCTTCTGCTTGCACAAGAACTCCTGTGCCATAACTGAACAGGTATTAGCCTTCCCAAGACTTCACTCCTTCTGAAACTTAGGACGAAACATCTGCTGGTCTTCAAAGCAGACATACTCAGGGAGACATTCTTCAATGACACTAATAGTAGCACAGAACTTGAAGTCTGTCTTTCAAGATCCAAGTTTTCAAACCTTCTTCCTTTATTTTTATACTACTCATTTAAGTCATGCTTGCCATTCATCACTTCTCCTTATTCCTTTTATCTTGCATGTTTCACAGCCATAGTGTGACCATGCAGACCCTATGCAATACAGAGGGGAAAGAAGATTCCAGGGTAGCATCTCCATCCCTGAAGGTTTCCAAGAGTCACTAGAAACTTTGACTGACTTGATCTAGCGCTGGGGACACTGGTACTTCAAGTGGGAGCTTGAAGTAGATGAATTCAGATGTCTCTAACATCCAACATTTCTATAAGCCTATGCAAACAGAAGCAAAGAGAGTGGCTGAGACACGAAAGAGGAGACATAAGCCCTAGAGCCACGGGAGTTCAGGTAAGCATGGCCTCTAAATCTACTCTTCCACTACTTTTCTCTAACTCTGCAGTCTCTCTTTAGAATCTATTTTAGCTTGTAAATAAGAGTTTAATCAAACACCAAGCACTTACTGCTGTTTTCATCCTGAATACAGTGAATTCGCCTAGACTGGTAAGCCTTCTTATGGGAGTGTCAGAGCCGAAATGACACAATTCACAACATTAATATCAGGTACTTAAACATTATTGCTAGTTTAAAATAGCAGTTTAGAGTTCAACACTGCCATGGAGAAACACAAGATGGAAATCCCATGGAAATCAGGGTAGAGACATACGGATTCATTGCTGATTACCAATTAGCCAATTCCTCTATTTAATGAGTATGTTAACAATACATTCACACAGCTTCTTTCATCAACAAATTATCAGGTTTGTTTGAATGGTGATATTTTCCATAAAACCTTGTCAGTCGCCATTTATTATACCTATAGCTTTTGATTTGCTAACAGATAAATATTTTATGAATTACTCCATTACAATAATGGATGTTAGATTAACTGCCATGTAATTTAACAGGGCTTGGCTGTTATAAATGTTGGTACAGATCAATGTTTTTCTCCTTCTAGGACTATTAAAAGTTAACATTGGCAGGTCACTGAAACACCCAGTTAACTCGCTGGACTTGAAGAAGAACTCCAGGCTCATCACCTTGAGGAATTACTATCCTCGTAACATTTTATTTTAATTCATTACACTTGAAACCCACAGGTAGAGCAAACACGGCAATAGCAATGAGTGTTGTGCCTCATTACTTTGCTGCCTTTTTGGAAAAGGTTATTTAGGAGACATTTAGCATAGAGGAAAGGGCGTAAGGGACAGGGAGCAGGGTACAAGACTGAGCTGACAGACATGAAGTAAAGAGATGAATGGAAACAGAAGGAGGAATTTGAGGAAGTTGCCAATGAGCACAGAGCAGAGAACATCAGGCAGAACTTCAGTTTTCTGAATGATCCAGACATCCCAATCTTTGTTTGCACTAAACAGGCTGCTCAGGACAGAGGTTTTTGCTAATGCCTTTCTACACGGATCTCCAAAGCCACATGGCAAGGTAGAACATGGGTTTCTCATGCTTTCAGTTCTCAGACTTACCATACACTGGGTGCATCTCTGATTTTTCTCATTTGTAAACAAACAACCCCCAGAAAAGCACCTTCTACCCATATCAACATTTCTTCACATACTTCTCCTTTAATCACTGAGGATTGACTGGTTCTTGTTTTTAGTCTCTCTTCCTTTCTGCACAGTCATCCATCCCTTTAGTTCTGCCTTTTTTTTAATCAATATTTTATACACACAATTTCTGAAGTTATTTCCCTTCATGTTTGTTATGAAATATGCCTAAACAACCTAGAATAATGGGAACATTTATTTTGCTAGACATTGGATTGGGCCCTTCCCTCAAAGTTTGTCCTCATTCCAGACTGCAGTATTTCAAGAGTCTTGTGTATTTGATTGGTTTGGGGTTTTGTGGGTTGGGTTTTTTTTTTTGGGGGGGGGAACAGTGGTGGTAGTTTTTATTTGGTTTGGGAGGGGTTGTTTGTAATAAAAATAAAAAAAAATAAAAATCAATCACACTTTCTATCAACTTCTACCTGCTCTTAAGAACTGCTGCTCATTTTTCCCCACCCTTCAACTTCAGGGAAGTAAGTTAGTTCTATTGAAGTCTTTCTCAAACATAAAATATATCTATTAGGAGTTAGGACATTATTTGGTCATGGTGATGTTAAACCATCATGATCATAGGGTTAGTCTATTAACTTCCCACCTTGTAATTCACATCTAAGTATACTACATGAGACAAAGATGATCCAAAATTAAAACACCAAGGTAAAAAAGACAGCACCCTTCATGTCAGAACTGGCTGCATAAGACCTCCCAATCAGAATTCTCAAAATACCCTTAGATATATGCTTGTGAGGGTGCTAAACACATCACATTTGCTCCAATGGTTTCTAATGGAACTGCATGGATCCAAAACCTAGACTTCACTGTTAATGATCCTCACTGAGTCAATATCCCATGGTTCAAGGTTACTGAAAACTCTTCAACAAGCAGGGATCAGTCCAGTTCTCTCTCATCTACTAATCTTCCTAAACAGAAATAGCTACTTTGTGTAATGGTACTCCTTTAGTACAATTATCCCAACAGTTTTCAATCATTCTGATTTTACCAAATCTATTTTCAATTAAAATCTTATGGACTCATTTTCTAGTCATTGACATACAAATTACTGAATTTGGTGTTGCAGAGACAGGAAGCAACTTCCATTTATGAACAATATAGGGTTGGATAGATTTTTTCTCTTTAGCCCTCTCCCTTGTAGTGTTACCTTACAGAACCATAGAATGGTTTGGGTTGGAAAGGACCTTAAAGATCATCTAGTTCCAAACCCCACTGCCACCATCCAACATAGTCCCAAACACTGCCAGGGATGGGGCAGCCACAGCTTCTCTGGGCAATCTGTTTCAGTGTCTCACTACCTGACAGGGAAGAACTTCTTCCTAATGTCTAATCTAGGTCTACCCTCAGTCAGCTGAAAACCATTCCCCTCTGTCAGCTTAAAGCCATTCCCCCTTTTCCTGTCACTACATGCCCTTGTAAGAAGTCCCTCTCAATGACAATACAAGGGCTAATACAGCAGTGTGTACTGGTGGAAGTCAAATTAGGAGGTCATCAAGATCCTTGAACAATTGTATGTGCAATTTCTCAGGACATGCAGATCGGGAGATGAAAAACAGAAGTGGCACTGGATGGTGAGACTACACACTAGACAAATTGCTTTAGAGACACCCCTCAGTTGTGTTGGTGCATGCAAGTATGCACACTTGAGAGTGAGACTGAGAAAAATAATTTTGTTTTTAAAATGAAGTCACCTTCCCTTCCTCTAAGCTATTCTAATTGTTACAATGTTATCTGTCACTCTATTACACTTTTTTTTTTGTCAGCCAACCTTAAAATATTGCATGCAAGTGGCAAGAATATTAAGTACATGATCTTGTGCTTTTCTCAACACAGATGAAACATTTCAATAAATCATGCAAAACAAACATTATTACTTAATCTCAGTTACAGCAACCCTAGGTTTTACTAAAAAGCTGTGGAAATTAAAGCAAGAGACAGACATGGTTCTTAAATTGAGAATCAGACATTACTCCTATTTTCTGTGACTATTTGATGCATGTTTCAGTAATTTCTCTGACCTTCCTGCTAGTTTGACTCACAGCAAGCCTCATCAAGTTAAACATTGTCAAAATACACCTCTATGAAACAGGAACTAAAGCCTTCAAACATTAACAACAGAACTGTTGAAGAAATATTCCTGGGTGTGCTTGACATGCAAACACCGCATGACTAACTTGAAAATAAAACACTATTCATTCATTTTCACAGTATAAAATGTTAGAAATAATAAAAATCCTAATGCCTCTGCTATTTAAAGCAAAAGAGTTTAAACAAGCTAATGACATTATCAGTGATACAAAGAAATCTGCACACAGAACTCTGGGTTTAAACTGTCATCCTCCTTGAGCTGTTTAAACCTCAGAACACTTATTCATCATCTTGATACTTAGTATACCTCCAGCCAACTTGCCACACTTTTCCTATATAGGTCTTACCCTCCCACACTGATACTCCCCTGGCAGGAAGAAAATCACCATACCTCTAACGCCAAAAGAAATGCAGTGCTGCTTATGTAACACTTGCTGTGAAATCTTTGCTATTCCCTGCCACTTTGCATTCCAGACACTTGAGACTGCTCAGATACTCATTTCATTTGTCTTTCACTTTTCCATACACTTTTAGTTCAATCCAAATGATAAAATTTACTTAATTTATATTATATGCTAAAATGAAAAATTTACAGTAGTCATTTTTAGCCTTGAGGAGTAGATGTTATCAGTAACATAAAATACCTTCAGCTTTGCCTCAGGATGTTCATATGCCTGAAGCATTCTATCTTCTCATGATAATACAGTATTAGCTTCAGTCTTAAAATAACTCTTTTGAAAAAATTTCTAATTTAATAACTTTCTGCAAGAAAATACGTATTTTCAATTTTTTTTTTACAATCATGTCTATATATATCTTTGAAAGGAACATACAAATTTACACAAGCTACTTCTTTTGAAACCACAGATAAAAACATTTTGGAAAGATATTTGCCAAAATAAAATTCAAGTAAGAGTAGCATTTAAACATCAGTTGACTTGCAGAAATCATAACCTAAACTGTACAGTTGTAAGCATGAAACTAACTCTACCAGTTTTGAATTCAACAGTGCCAACTGTAACACCAAATGCTGAAAAACGTACAAAAATAAACAAAAAAACCCAGGTCCAGTAAAAGTGAAATGCTGTTATCTATGAGAATAAGGTATTTTCGTTTCAGCATTTTGCAATTTCTATACTGCCACGATTTGTAGTGTTTGTGAAGTTATTTACAAATTTCGTTTAGCAAATAATGTTTTTTCTCCTTGAATGGACAAATACAGGTTGGCCTCTTAAAAGCAGCATAACATAGTCCTTCAAATTGTTAAAACTTCTAGGTAGAATTCTCCTGGCAGCCGTTCCTGGTTGCTTATGCAGCAATTTAACACAAAATTTATAAACCTGAAGTACCGGAATAAGCAATTTAGGCTTTTTTCAACTTAACCTCAAGTTACGAGAGGGTTTTTTCACCAATTAAAACCAGAATAAAAGATGCAGCTTGGTATGTTATTAGCTTTATTTACAAATTTCCTTTGCAGAAAGAAACAGAAAATCCCAAGACCAGAGAGGAACTCAAGGAGAGGAAGACACAAAGAAACCAACAAGCTGATTCAGAAACATTCACGCAGTAGGCAGCAAGAAAATATTTTACACTAAGAAACGTAGGGGTACTTGTCTTCTACTGTTATGTATAGAGACAGAAATACAGAAGTATTTAATTTCTGAAAATGACAATTACAGCCTAAAAATCTGATTAAGTTTTTAGTACCAGTTAACATCAGCAGGTAACTGATAAAAGCAGCAATGTACTCTACCCTGCCAGCTGAGAACATCATCTGCAATACTCATACTCTGAAGAATAAACTGCAAAAAAAATTTAACTGTGAAACAGAATTCCTAAGAAAGTCAAAGTACCTCCATTCTTTGGAAACTGTTTTGTGTAATATCTCCCAAAAGTGAGGCTGGGTGAGGAACATCTAGAAGTTCAAAAGAAAAAGTTATGGGAGTTCATGACTAAATGTTCTGGATGCTGCAATATCCACATGGTGATGGTATCTTGATGAAAGCCAGGGCAATAGAACTAAACATTACTTGCCAGATTTCTCCTTTGAGGAACACCATCTCTCACCGTCTCTTTTCTTTGAAGAAAGTCACATTAACACTTTTGAAAAGCAAGTCTTGTTCTAAGAGGTCTCCGGTATTAATAGATATTTGAACAGCAAATGACCAGCAAATTTTCCTTTCCTGGAAGCCAGCAAATTCAACAAACATACATCCAAAGGAAAATTTGTGTTCGGAAATTTTACTAGAAAAGACACTTCTACAGAACAAAGAGTTGCAAAACTATTTCTTTATAAGGAAAAAGGAAACTTTCAAAACCAAGCCTAGTTACAGCAGAGAATTTTTGATTCAGAAGTGAAAATTCTGAGAAGTCACACCTGAAAACTATTTAGCTTACAACTTTGTTTCAAAAATTTATGATGGAACTGCATCTCCCATTCCCAGACTGCCCGTCTCTTCCAAGAAATACTTTTTCCTAGAAATACGGATAACTTCACAATTGTATCAATGTCCAAGAACACTTTTCGCTTTGTTGCAAATAACTATCACCATTTATAATGATTATAAATTGACCATGTTTATTCACTGCTTATTAATAGTCTAACAATGACTATTTATCATTTTAGAAATGCTGACTACACATAAGTGCTGCTATTAGTTCAGCACTGAAGTGTGAAAAATAAAGTAGTCCTTAGCAATAAAGCCATTTTCAACTAACTGGAAGTCAGAAATGTCAGAACTGCAAAGTTTTAGTTCTCTGACTTTGGAAATCCATTTCTTTGAAGACTACAAAATTTTTTAGCAGACCTGCATGTTCAAAAACAACAACAACAACAAAAAAAAAATCACAAAAATCTAAAAAAATGCCATGAAGATGCACATACTTTAAATTTTCAAAACACAGATTTAGTAGCTAAGCATCAGAAAGCAAGTACTTCATGATTTCAGAGATGAATTCTCAATTAAAGCTTGCATATTTATCATCTGCATAATGTATCTAATATGAAATCCAAATTTAGGAGAAATGTTTGTACCCCATTTAACAGCTAGCTGGTGCCTATCTCTTTTACCCCATTTAACAACTAGCTGCTGGCTGCCTCCTTTTCTTACCAACAAGCACAAAAGAGCTTAGTGCTCCTGGATTATGAGCTGGAAGGTGAGGAAAAAAGGAAGCAACATTCTCATCCCAACAAAGTATTTCTTCAAATTATTTTACTTCCCCAGGGAAGGCACCCCAGTAGAGGAAATAAAATGTTTGAAAACATGATTTAACCTTTTTATTTAGAAACAAATGAGAGTTAGGACAATTGTTTTTAGATACATTAAATATTTCTGTTTCTTATCAGTCAAGTTCTGCTTTCAGTGCCACTGCTGATTACTTCTTAGTTGAAGCAGCAATTTTTGCTTAAATGAAATGCTTTGATAGATACTGTTTAACTAATGCAAACTAGCAAAGCAGCAAGAAATGATATCTTAAGAAAGCAGAGAACACGGCTGTTATACAGAGAAGAATCCCTGCAAATTTGCTATTTTAATGACTTACAGCACAGTCAGCTCAGTGGAAGATGCACATACAAACCCCCATTTCCCAACAGGACTAATGTTTTAAATCATTTTTATGGAAATATTTGCATTTACATTGCACTCCAGTGATTACTTAGGGCCCATACCTTGTAAGCAGGCACTGTAATCAGTTTATTACTGCACCACTCTAATACCGTCCTACTGATGACTCATCTGTACAAAAACCAACCATATTTTCTTTGCGAGATGGACCTTTGGACAGCTTGGTTCTAGTGGAATTTTTTAGAAGGCCAGAAGAAAGCAAAACACTGCTCCCCCTTGGAAAAAGCCCTTCAGTCACAGGTGGTTTGGCACATGCAGACTCTGCATATTGAAATGCACTTCTGCTACTATATCTAGAATCTCTCACTAGTTTAGCTCTTGTCTTTTCCTATATCATAACAATCACATCTTTTATAGCAAATCAAAAACATTTCTTGTCTTTTAATAATGTTTCAGATACTTCGCAAAACTACTGTGCAGCAGCTCTGCAAACAAAGCTTGTCAAAATTCTTCTGTACATTAAGCACTGACCTGCTAAATCCAGAAACAGAGATGGCTCCCCTGTTCCCAGTCCAAGATAAATTCAGCCACTGGATGAGAGTGCAGCGAGACTGTAGGTATTCCAGAGATGTGTCATTAATCCTTGCCCAGTAAGGTTGTAAACTGAGATGAATGTATTGTAGAGGATCACAGCAATGTTGATATAGTAGCTTACAAGTTTGTGCTAGTCTACACAGGTCTGGTACTGTAAGGTGACTCAAAATCAACTGGATGAGCTATATTAAAAACAGAAAAAAAAGTCACAGATGGTCATACAGCACTTGAAATGTTAAGAGAAACCACAAAGGATTAAGATGTTCTGACTTCAAAGAAAAGTAAATCCTTTTACTTTAAAGTAACTTCTTGAATAAATCATTGATTAACCATTAAACAGGACTGCACTGCCTTCTCAATTTGACGACATATTAAACAAGAAAGGAAAAAGCAGATCAACATATAAAAGTGACAGGAAGCTTTCAAATTAGAAGTTTCTTTACCCATGCTAATTTAAACAGTGATATGTATGTAAACACTATGTTTACATATTTCCCTTCACAATGTCTGCACTGCCGTTGATCAGAACACTGAATTGGCATTTTCTTTCTTCTCTGGATTTGTTTTTTAAAATGGCAGCACATTTGCAGAGTACACGGAAAAACTATACCATGTCCCAGTTTCCCCACACCTTGAACTGATTTCACATGTATTCCTCTGCTCCTTGCTTAAAAAAATTCAGTGTTTTGTCTTCTACCTTATATCCTCTCCCATCCATGCTGGACTATGCAACTAGGAAAAGAAATTCAGCATTTTCAGATCTTTTACAAAGTAATCTATTCCTTGCTGTAATACTTGGAGAGCATTTTTCTCTATGCCAAAGTCAAATCTGAAAGGCAAAGTGCTTTTTTACCTTTATCAGACTGAATCAGTTTCAGAATAACCACCAGCCCTTCTGACTAGCACCACTATACATGTTTTCGTAACGACTTATCTCCAACTCAGAAATCAAGAAATATCTCCTGTCTCCTACCACGTCCTGTTTTCCTTTCTGAGTGAAGATCAACACACACAGACACATACTCACATTAGGGAATAACAAAAAATGCTCAGGAAAAAACAAAACAAAATAAAACAAAAAAAACAAGAAAAAACCTCCTTTACGTTAGAAACTGAGAGAAAACGCGCTTGAAAAAAGAAATCTAAAAATTGATGTTTACTTTACCAGAGCTGTCTTCAACAGCTATAAGTACCTCCACCAAAGTTATGCAACTAAAATTGATGAAGTGTTTTCAAGCACTCACTGAAATGAATCAGTGTAAACAAAAAAAAAAACAAAACCAAAGCCCCCCAAAAAATCCCAAACCACCACACACCAACCCCCCATCAACACAAACCAACCCACAAATCAGCTTAAACTGAAGAGTCCTGAGAGTCCTCTACCATAAGGTTTCACTCTGATGTCTTTACAAGCACTCATAAGACAAACCACCAAAAAAACAGAATAAAATGCTTAATATAAAACGAAAATGAATCTTTTTGTGAGATCCAAACAGATTGTACTTCCAATGAACCAGTTTATTATGCAGTTAGCTTCCGCCTCCCCTCCTCCCCCCTTCATTTTTGGAATAGAAGAAATAAGAAAACAATCCAACTTCCTGCAAAATGAAAAATGTTACTTCCTACTCAGCTCCAGATTTAGTATTTGAATTTCAAACACTATCTACAACTCCTCAAAAAATTTAACTTCAACTCCAACGCCAAAATATAGTGTTCGCATATACTCGTTTCTCTCCAGCCTAATTTCAAGTCTTCCCTCTTCCCTTCTCCTTGATCCAACTTTCCCCTAAAAACAGCCTAGGCTTTTCGTCTCTGCAGGTGCCCGAAACTCTCACCTCAGCTTGATGCAAAGGATCTGCATAGACATTTCAATGTAACAGTAATATATACGTACATATATGTATAAAATAGATATCCATACATAATAACTGAAGTTGATATATTAATCAACAAAGTTTGCTCCCAATTGACATTTAGGTTGTCAGCATTTTGGTATCTGAGAAAGCGCGAAATAACACGCAGCTAACAAATATAATCCCAAATTAGTATCTTGGTTTTTGGTTGGCTAAGACCCACACTTAAGCTTAAAGGTTGCTAAACACAGTTTTGTCTATCATCCTAATAGTAGATACCCAAACATATACCTATTTTTCTAAGACCGTCAATTAACTTTAAATGATTTGCAATATTTTGAAAGACAGCTTCAAATTCCTGCAGTCTTTCAGCTATTCCATACTCTATAAAACACCTAAATATTTATGAATGGTCTTTCCCTCAGACTTTTCCCGTGCTTATTTAGTAAGATTTCTAGAGCAGAGCACTCAGCAAAGGCTGCCAAATTAGCTAAATTTCTCTCTAAAACTAATGTGGTGTAATAATGTCTGATAAAAATAATATAACAGAAATTTTGTTCAGTGGCAAAAAATGTTCTTTTGTAACTTTCGAGCAGTAAAGATAATGGTGAATGAAGTTATAAACGCCTCACCAATGTCCCTTTACACTAATGACTTGAGTATTTCCTAACATACAGAATGTTGCAATCTTTCCACACCTGAGATGAAATCTCTTACCACATGAATGTCTTGGTCAAAAAAAAAAAAAAATAATCCTTCTTTTTTACTAAAATTATGCTACTTGAGCATATCTATAATGAAAAAATAGAATTAAATTACGCTACTATGACATTAGGATGTGAAGTACGTTTTCTGGCTTTTGATTAAACAAAGATAACAGGTACCAAACCCACAGGCTAATAGCCATTAATCACCCTTAGTCTGGAGTCTGGTGTCTGTCAGAAATTCATTTTTTATGCATGTGTATCCTGGCACAAAGTACAATTTGATACCTTAATGAGTATGTGACATGATGTGTTGTATTGTGCTACACCATGTTCATGATGATACCAAGAATGCTACAGAATTGAGTATCTGCTTCAAAAACTACTTTCGTAACAGTTTCTCATGAACAACTGTTTTCACTTTGAATGTATGAAAAATTATGGCAAGCATTATTATTTCACACTTTGTTATAAATCAATCAGTAAAAACAAAGATTATTGGAAAAAAATACAAAGGAGTTTGCAGAAGAAAACAAAACAGAATTTATACACCACTTTTTGAGGCTGTGATGGACCAAAAGGATTTTCTTTCCTGTTTCCAGGGCAAACGTGGTACATGCCAGCTTTAGAGATGTGGTGAGACCAAGACCCACAGCAAAAACCTCCAAAACCTGAGAGGTTTCCATATCATAATTCTCCACAACAATTCAACAAACAGCAGTAAGCAAATTGCTGTTTGAGCACAAAAAAGATCCTGATTCATATCTGATCTGTGCCTTATTATCACCATAGTCCCTGATTGCAGCATCTTATATATATGCATATATTTTGAATTACCAATTTAAAAATACAAGATCTTAAAAAAAAAAAAACCCAGACATCTCACCCACTACAAAGTTTGCTTATAAGCTCAGAAAGGATCTCCATCACACTCTTCAATACACTGGGTAAAACTTTACTAATGGTGTAACTCCTAATGGTACTTACCTTCCAAAAAGTTTCTCTGGCTTTTTTAAGCTTTTTTTCCTGAATAACAGCAAGCACTTTCTGTGTCTAGAGCACAGTAACACAGAACTTGATTTGGTCAGAAAACAGTGCCTGGCTGCTGGTCAAACCTAGAATATTGGCACTTTCTACAAATAGCCTCTTTTTAGTTCTCCAACATAAGTCCTTGCAATATGAAAATATATTGGCATTTGCAAACCACTCGTTCAGAAACACACAAATCAATGACTTGCAATTTCTTCATTCTGCAGCTACAGCTGCCATGGCTTAGACACTAATTAATCAGACTTGATAGTAAGGCATGCTCAGATAAAGAACAAAGGTTATGTGCACAAAAAGGCAGAGTGAAGACAGGAAGAAGAAGATGGTATTCTTCTAGGGCTTCTGACATCCCTCAACATAGTTTATGAAAACCCAGTCCCTAGTTCCACAATCCTATAGCTTGCACCAGCAAATGCATACGCATTTAACAGCACACATGAAAAGTGAATCTTGCAACTGTCTCACAAAATCATTTAAGTCTCTCGTTTCTTTATTCTACTCACATTGCATGCTTTGGCAGAGTGGGGTTTACACCACGAGGCTGTAGGCTCTGATTCTCTCAGCAATGGAGGGCTGTAAAGGTTTTAAGCCCCTTCGTGACAAAAAGAACAGAAAAGGATCTTATTGACAGACTGCACAATCAAATAATCAAGACTCCAGGAGGACTAAAGCTGGAGAGATCTTCTCCCATGTGCCATTGCTTAGAGCCTACTCTGCTACAGCAACTGGCAGTATTTTGGCCATGAACTGATGGGAATCTTGTGCCGTATGGTTATTAGCTTTTAAGGACCCTCATGAGTTTCTCTTTCCAAAGAGAGGCATAAAATCTTCCTGACTCCCTGAAAGCTTACAAGTACAGGAAGATGCAAGAAGTTTATTGTTGATGTAAAAGAGGTGTATGACACCCAAAAATGCTCCTGCTTATTGTTCTGACCCTTTTATCAAAGTATCATTTAAGAGATGCAGATCTTACATTCAAGACCAGTTTTCCTGGAACACAGGTGCCAAATCCACATTCAGTGGTAAAATTCGCTTCCCCTGACAGAGGCAGCTCATAAATCTTGAGGCAGCTTTAGGAGAAAACTGGCTTCAGGGAAAGACAAAGATGTTATTTTTATCTTTTAATATAAA